GTGATTGCTGGGAGTGAAGACAGGGAGGGGAGGAGAGAGAGAGAGAAGAGAGGAAGAGAGAGAGAGAGAGAGAGAGAGAGGAGAGAGAAAGAGAGAGAGAGAAAGAGAAGAGGAGAGATCCTCCACCGGAGCAGGAAGCTGCTGCTGGGACTACCCGAGAAGACAGAGGAGGTACAAAAACAACGTCGACATGCAGCAAAGCAAAGCGGGGGTATCCACCCATAATGTAGACCCAAGCAGAGCAGGAACACCCGTGGTGTGCCACTTCTGCTGCCGAGGCAAACCCCGAACAGATGTCGGGCTGCAGCGCGTGAACACAAAAAAAGTCAAAAGCAGGAGTGGAAAGGGGGTGGCCGTGTTTGTTTTATTCGTGGCTTTTTATCGCATGGGTAGAAAATGAAGGAGCTGAAGGGCTGCGGTATGCGCTCCTCAGTGGCTTTTCTGTCCCGCAGAGGGCTGACCGGGCAGCCGCTCATGAAGGAGGAATTCAGAGACGCAGGGCTGCAGGCTGCACCAGCCTCTACAAAGAAGGACATGCTCGGACAACTTCGGCTGTGTCAACGCCATCGAGTTCTCCAACAACGGGGAGACTTGGCTTCGTGTCTGGTAAGTTGACAAAATGTCCCCCTTTTTTTTTTTTTTTTTTTTTTTCTCCCTTTCGGCTGAGGCTGTTTTTAAATGTGTTAGCATGCTAGCGCTAACTAGCCAGGCAGTCAGCTGAAACCCGCCCCGGGGCTAGCTGAGGTAGCCTAGCGTGCTAAGCTAAGTAGATAGCCAAACAGAGAGCAGCAGCAGCAGCAGCCTCGCACCGGTCCCATATGTCAGCCCATAAGCTCATCACTGTGGCAGCTGAAGTGCACTTTTTTTTTTTTTAAATCTCTGACGAGTCTAATCATGGCTTCCACCTGAAAACACAAAGGTATTTGTGTCCAGAGAGGATTAAAAACCATCACCTGGCCTAGTGTGACAGCCTGAGGCTTTGCCCTTTTCTGGTCTGCTGAATGTTTACTTTGCACAGTAAAACCTGCATTTAACTTAAAGTCCACAATATGAGCATGACTTCACCTGACCACGTAGGTTAAAACTATCCAGATGCTCCTCAGGAACTGTCCACTTCACTGTCCCTGTCCATTTGAGTACAGTTATTAACTCTGGTAGACTATTGAAACGACCTCCTGATCTAGATTTTGCACCATATGCATCACACAGTGGTGTTTTAATGTTGCTCTTGTATAGGTGTATTGAAAGCCACCTGCAAAATACCTTATTTACAGACTATATTGTGTAAGGCTGCAACTAAACAACGAAGATTAAATGGTAACTGATTAATCCGTTATCATGTATTCAGGGAAATGTTCATGAATTATGTAAATCCATCCATCGCGGTCTACGGTGACGTCTTCTAATGTATTGTTTTCTCTAACCAGTAATCTTTAAACTCGTGGATATTCCCTGAAGAAACCCCAAAGCACATTATCACATTGGAGAAGCTGGAACAACGACATCAAAATAGCTGCTGGAAAACTGTCTTGATTAACCAACTTACCATTAGCTTACCTTTGTTGTGAATTCCAGAAGAGCTTTAACTCTTCAGGCCTCTAAAAATGTATTAAAATGAACCGATCTGAGAAGGTGTTTTGGTGAACTGTTGTGACTGTGAATTGCTTCATTTTAAAGTGTCTTAAGTGGAAAAGTTTGGAAACCGCTGCTTTAGTCTATTCTGTGCATTTTTGTTAGTTGGTGGTGTTAATCCGTCTTTGTCCTGTCTTCAGGAGGAGATGACCGCCGGGTGCTCCTGTGGAACATGGAGAAAGCCATCCACGCTCGGTCCAAGCCTGTGAAACTGAAGGGCGAGCACCTGTCCAACATCTTCTGCCTGGCCTTTGACAGTACAAACAAGAAAGTCTTCTCTGGTGGTAAGAAAAACTACATCTGTGTGGCTTTTGTTTGTGGCTTGTCACTCTGAGGCGTGTAGGTATAAGATAGATCTGATTAAATGAGAAAACTTTGACGCACTAGAGGATGCAGCAGTCAACAAAACTGACATTAGAGACCCTGCAGGTGTTGAAATAAATATACAAAATATACATATATGCATGAAAATAAGACTGAAAGTAGCTTTATCTTTGTTTTTACATAATCAGAAAGCAAAATAATCTAATAGACAAATGTTTAATGGATTCTTTTCTGTGTGTTAAGTGGTTGGAGAGATGTTGTAGTTACTTCCTTTTTTGGTACAAATTATCGATAGAAAATTTAATGATTTATGTTGTTCTGGAGGCATGTGCTGAATGCTGCTTACTGACTACTGTCAAGCCGCCATGCAAATTAGTCAGGAGGATTATATATTGATGATGCTGTATAAATATTTATTTGTTACTTGATAGATAACTAACCACACACCATTTAAAACAACCCTGGAGGCCTGGCTAGTTTTGCATATTAACTCTGAGGTTGAAGATAAGAGCATTTATATCTTTGAACTTTAATTCCTTCAAATTGTGATTGAAAGTTTGTTTGTTTGCTGTTTCAGGAAATGATGAACAGGTGATTCTTCATGATGTGGAGAGGTGGGTGAAACATCACATATAATGCTGCTTACTGTAGAAACAGTTTGATGTACTCACAGCAATTATAAAAAGCTTTCTTGTGATTAAACTTCTGGCGAATGTACTTGTGTTTAAACGAACAAAGCGATTAACATTTGTGTGATTGTTGTTTCTACAGAAGAGAAACTCTGAACGTGTTCCTGCATATTGATGCCGTGTACAGCTTGTCTGTCAGTCCGGTCAATGACAACGTGTTTGCCAGCTCATCTGACGACGGACGCGTTCTTATCTGGGACACCCGCGAGCCGCCAAATGCAGGTAAGTGAAGGAGGCGTGAATGTTCTGTGAAAGCTCATTGGTTGATGGTAATAATAACTTTATTATAATGCCAATTGTGATGCCAAGTTTAAAGATCCCATCCAGACATGTATTATGGAATCTTAAGTAGTCTGCTTGGAACAATAACGTGTGTCTGATATGTTTTTTCCACAGTAAAAGCATAATTTCCACATTAAAATCCTTAAAAGGGCATCTACTGTTTCTGCCTTATTAAAAAGACCAGAATTTATGAAAACAAACGAAGCAGTGTCGGCTGATACCGATCACTGGGTCTATTTAAAAGCCTTATATTTATACTGTAGCCTTACTTATTATTCACTATTCTTTACAACATTGTATATTAAGTTGATAATACAACTGAAACCATAACAGCCTTTTATTGGTTACTTGGAGCAGCTTAGAGCTTAACAGTGTTTCCCACAGAGTGACAGTGTAACTGTGGAGGGTATATTTCTATTTCTGTAGGTCATTTCTTATTTCACCATTTTAATTCTACTTCCACCTTATTTTGTTGTTTTATTGTTTACTCACAGGGGGACTTTAACGTTTCTGCTTGAAAGGGCCGTAAGGGATGTAAAATTAAAGAACTTTCCAAATGATGAACAAGTTAGATAACTCACCAACATCTAAGATAGGATTTCTCATAACCTGAAAATATATACTGCTCTTGTGGGAGGCTAACAATGGATTAAGAAGAGAAAATGGAATGCATGTGTTTCCAGCTTCCCAAATATCTTGTGCTGGAAGATCAATAAATAAGTTTAAGATTTATAATCAGTCTGGTAAAAAACACCGGATCAGTGTCTGAAGGTAGCTTTATTACATTAAAACGAAGCTCTACAATCGTCTTAATGATAATAAAAATACACAAACAAAGCTTGTCTCTAAAGCATGTCCTCTTTTATGTTATCTCTTTGTGGTTGTAAATAAGAAGCTGTTCATAAGCAGTCACACAGCGTATTTTAAGTGTCCCTGTTGAACTGAAAAGCTTGTTTAGTACTTCATGATGGGACATAGTGAGACTTGTTGATAACTTTAAAAATGCAGTGGATCATCTTGCATGACGTACACATCCTTCTATTTTAGAAGCCTTCCTTGTGACCAAGTTGGCCTAATAATACATTTAGCAGTAATCTATTCCATGTCTGCCAGCGGGCTTTTTATGTCGGTCTGTTAAAGCGCTGAAGCCCCAGTTTGAAAGGATGAAAGTTTGCACACAAATGCATTCCTTTGTTAACCAAGCCTTCTGTCTAAATACAAGTGGGGTTGTATTATTAGTTACATTGTAGTATAATGCATCAACATAAGTAAATGACACCTGCTGGGCTGGGAAACATTTTGATTAAATTGTTTATTGACAATGTGCAACAACAGTGATGTCAGTGTTTGGGGCCGGACTGCTGAGTTGACTGCCCTCTCCTGGTATTTCAGAGGAGTGTAACTGGATCATATCAAATGTGCTCCACATAAAACTCATTTTTGTGGCAATAATCTGACCAGAATAAGTATAGAATAGTAGAGTAAGACTCTTGTTAGCAGCTCTGTTAGACTGTACTTTGGCACATCGGTGCTTTGAGCTAAATGCTAGTTTCAGCGTGCTAACATGCTCACAATGACACATGCTGATGTTAAGCAGGTATCATGTTGACCATGTTTGTCGTTTTAATTAAGTGTGTTTGCATGCTTATATCTGCTAATCAGCTAAAAACTTTAGTCGCTGCTTGAGTGACTCAAAAACAGCCACAGAAGTGTTAATAATGATGTAACTGTAATTCATTAAAATCTCATCTCTTCCTGTAGAGCCGTTCTGCCTGGCTAGCTACCCCTCAGCCTTCCACAGTGTGATGTTTAACCCTGTGGAGCCCAGGCTGATCGCCACAGCCAACTCCAAGGAGGGAGTTGGATTATGGGACATCCGCAAGCCACGCAGGTTAGACGTTTTTTCATGACCCACTTTTTAAAATAGGGTGAAACTTTATTGTTTCTAAGGGGGAAAATAAACCATAGTAGAGTTAATAAAAAACTAATAACAAAAATCATTTGAGTTATTAAAACACTAAAAGCATTTAAAGAAGTAAAATAGGTTAAAATAATGTGAGCTGAAGTCAATTTATGCCGCTGAAAATATCCTAAGTTTGTAAAGAGGCAAAAAATGTACATTGCTAATTATATATTTTATTTTATCCATTATACTGTATATTTTATTGTTCATTTCAAACATGTCATTATTAATTTTGGTCATTTTGTAATAGTGTACGAGTTGTTTGTATCAACAGAATGGGTTTAAAGTAAAACATCGTCCTCTGCTCTTGTGATGCATGTTTGTCCACTAGGTGGCGCTGTTGTCTTACTGTTCAACTAATCACCACTATCAGTCTGCCAACTGCAGAACCCCTCGCTGCAAAAACCAAATGTTTATCCCACTAAAATGACTCTGTGAAAACACTGAATTGTGCTGCTGAGCGTGTGTTTATACATACTCAGGTTAGGTTTCAGTTATTAATACACAAATGACGGCACTTCCAATAAAAGTAAGCACTGAGTCATTAACGTCCTCCAATGTTGGCTCTGCCTCTCTGCAGTGTGGGTATGTTTACACTCACTTCTTAGAGATTTCCTCAATTTACTGTTAAGCTTAAAAACAGCTTCCAGTTGAAGTTTATTTAATGAAATACCTGTTTTTTTTAATTATAATTCAATATTGACAAGTCTCTTTAATCTTCTAATAAGCTGCTGACATATTACAGTTTATCTTCTGATGATGTTATGCCTTTTTCATTTTTGTTTTTGTGATCACACTTATTATTTTGTTTTGCTAGAAAACTAGTCAGGCTTTGACTTAAATATTCAGCAATTCTCTTTTGCTGTTGTAAATAATAAAAAATTGCAACATCATCTGGTGTTGACAAATTGTCAACATCCCCCTATAATATTCAAGTTTTCAGTTTCTGTCCACAAGATAAACATCCCACTGCTTCCTTTAAGAACATTTTGAAATGTCACATCATCACTCTCTGTTCTCCTATGGCATGTGATTCAGAAATGAAATCAATAATTCCATGAATAAAAAGCAGACTCATCATAATAATTCAATTCTCACTCCTTTTTATATCCTTATTATATCAATATATTAACAAACTCAACAATTATTTTAGTCACTTCGGGCTCAAGACTCTACTATGTTCTTTCCTTCTCTTCTCTCAGCTCATTGCTGCGGTATGGAGGCAGCATGTCCCTTCAGAGCGCCATGAGTGTTCGTTTCAACAGCACCGGTACCCAGCTGCTGGCACTGCGGCGCCGCCTGCCCCCCGTCCTCTACGAACTGCACTCCCGCCTGCCCAGCTTCCAGTTTGACAACCAGGGCTACTTCAACTCCTGCACCATGAAGAGCTGCTGCTTTGCTGGGGACAAAGATCAGGTTGGTCATCTGATCATCCTGAACTATAACTACTGCTTCTATCATTAATAAGTTAATATGACAGAAACTTGGTTAATAATGTAGTGACACATTTATAAGTTATAGGGTTGTACTAAATCACATCAGAACAGCAAAAAGAAAAACAAGGCATGCACCCCTTCCCCTTACATACAGGCAAATACAGTCTATGTATGAAATATTATACAGGATGTCTAATAATATTCAGTTTCATGTACATATGCAGCCTTAAAGAAACGTCTAGCACATATTATATTTGAGATTTAGCTCCCGATACAACAAGAATAACCAGAAAATAGAAATGATGTGAAACAGTGGGGAGATTGTTTCGTATGACTGTGTGGTTACTTAAAATGAAATGTAAGGAGAATGTTAGGAACATGTGGGATCAATAGAAAGAATAAAAATAGAAGAATATATTAGTTCCGTCTGTGAAATTGGGACTTTAAGTTTTGGAGGAACACCAGAAGCCGCTGTACTCAGCCAATGGTCCTCCCGTTGGTCCTCCTCAGACATGACATCACCCTGCAGTCATGTTTATTATGTTAACATTATCCTCGGGTGTCAGCAGAGCTCATGAAAGCTTAAAAATGATCCCTCTCTACGTGAGTGAAGGAGATAGTTTAAAGGTTACAGAGTCAGGTCAGGACTGTACAAGAAGGTTGCTGGTGTGAATCAGCCCACCTGCTGCCAAGTTGGACAGAGAAACTGGATCTGAATTGCTTTTAAATAGGGTTTTTGAGGAGTAAGACCATATTGGGTCAGTGGCTCCTATATGTAGTAATCACATTTTCTAAGGATTACATACAGAGAAGATCTGATACCATTTTTTCCTTCCCGATACCAATTCATAAACCTGAACTTCGCACATCGGCCAGTCCAGTACCAGTCCAGTCATTTTTTTAACAAGCATATATTACTAAGCCTGTATGATTGATATCGTTGTATGGCCTGGCTCAGGTTAAACCCTTTGTCAGAGTTGGAGTCAGAGTAGTGTGGGTCATGACTTTGCTACCCTGGAAGAAAAAATGGCGACTGTTATACTGCAGGGTCTCGTTTTAGGGTTAATAAATCGTGTGGTATCTGATCGGTGTACAGACACGTGTACTCGCTGCTAACCGAAACCGTATTTTAGCCATTATTGGAGGAATTTCCAATACTGGTATCGGTATTGGAATAACTATTTACATATATATATATAAATCTTACTTAAAAAAATAAAAAGTATATTCATATGCATGCACATGACATTTTTGTGTATCGCAATGGAAAATAATTAAAAGTTTGCACCTGTTCAGTCCTAGGTTGGATTTGATGATAATAAAAAGTCCAACATATTAATGTGTGTACTGAGGGGTATACAATAATGAAAGTTTGACTGTGCTCAACGAGCAATGTAACACCTTTTTGAAAATCTTGTTTTTGCTAACTGCCTGTGGTTTACCTCTTGTTGCAGTGATGTAGAAGTGTAGTCCAGGGTGTATCAGTATAGTGACTGTACGTGTGATTACAGATGTAACAGCAGCACATTTCTGACCACATCCAACCACACCCCGTCAGTGGTACAACAGACTCAAAGCTCTTAATCAAAGATCACAGCAAACCCCTGATTTTCATCCTGGTGTTAAGTTACTTTTTAATATAATTGCCTGCTCTTGATTATTGGATTTAATAATGACTTTTTAATTGTAATACACTTATAGCTGCAATAAGACAATTTTCACTAGGGGCCAGAAAAACCAACTCAAGTGCCTTGTTGAGTTTATCAATATGACCATACAGTACATACTATCACATGATATAAATTATTATTATTATACAACATAAATGTATCAACCACAGTTTTTTTTACGGTCTATATCATGGTAGTTATTCCTTTCTGGTTTTATTGGACCACTGTAGGCAATGTTTTATTCATATCACCCACTCCCTACTGTGTGTGCACTTATGGGAGAGAGATGCTATCTACAGTTTTATTGTGGAGGGTTGTGAGAGCCACTGGGAGTCACACTTTAGGTTTCAGGACAAAACTGGAGAAAAGGTCAACTCTAACGGCGCAAAAATTTATAGATACTGGATGTCAATTCTAATAAAACTGCACAGTTTAGAGGAAAAGAGAAGAGGTGACCAAAGAAACCATAAAATGTGATGTGACATGTGAAGGACGTAATAGACGTTGGACCAGATGATTTCCTCCATTGTTCTCACAGCGCTCTAATTCTCAGAAACTTCCTCATATAGACCAGAACCACAGAGGATTTTCTCATAGTGGTGTGAAAGCAGAGGTGCAGAGTGGTTACTTACCACACAAAACTGATGGAAAAGAAAGAGGGAGGGAGTTATGGGTGTGACATTCCTACTTGACGTGTCCTCTGGGAACCTGAGGTGGAGCACACAGGTGTTCAGTTCAGAGTGTGTTCATGTCCCCTGGAGCTACAGGGTCATGACTAACAGTCTAAGTGTTTAAGGCATAATGCTTTTTATCACCGTAGAGCATTTTATGTAGGTTTCTTTTTGATGGAGACATAGACTACACTTTGTGACCAGAACAGTGAAAATGTATAGACCAGCCTACATGATTGCAAGCCTTCATTTTCTGGAAACATTCTTCAGCAAGTCTCTGAAAATGCTTAAAGTTAAAAGAGAAATATACCCCCAGAGACCAGCTGAAGAAGGAAATTGAAGACATTTGTTTAAATCCTTGGCAGATATAACGGCACAAAAATAATTCACAACTTGACAGAATGTCAGAACTCCGGCAGCACAAGATGATGCCTAAAAACAAATGCAAATAATTTAGCAAAAAATGAGCCTCCAGATGGTAAAATAAGGCTTGAAAGACATTCCAATTAAACAGAAATGTGCTAAAAGAAAGAAGAAGAGAATAGAGGAGGAAAGTATGAAGGAAAGTATTTTCAAGAAGGAAAACATTCTGTTCACATTGTGCACCTAAATATTTGTATGTGTATAACCAACCTCCACATCAAATGCTAGTAAATTAGGGAGGACAGCCGAGCTCCGGCGGTAGCCATAGGCACTGGCTGCAACCACAGCTCTAATGGGCACACCCATTGCTCTGGTCATAGCCAGCAAGATAAAGTATCCTCCAGGGCACCCTTAAAATGTAGAAAATGCAGTGCTGTGCCATATAGACTGCCTCATGTGCTAGAAATTGTGTTGGCCTTTGCAGAACCCACATGGTTAAACAGTCAATAGTTCCTTGTCCTTCCTGTGTTTTTATAATATAGGTGTTGTAGTCATTTAAGTCACAAAGAAATGTATTCTTAACCAGGGTTTGTTTCACCATAAATGCATCACAACTTTCTGCACTACTTTTTTTGCCCCTAGTCCGCCACTGTCCATGTTCATAGTCTAATCACAGCTACAGTGGAGGCCTGTCACATAGCTCATCATACATTCACTGCCCACAATATACTTTTACATTACTTTAGACAGCTTGCTAATCACAACATTATGACTAAGTTACAGTAAATGCCTATTATGAGCACATTCTCAACCTACAGTTGCAAACATTAATTAACAATACTGTAATAGGTTCAAAACTGCCATGTTACGTTACACAAGAAAAGGTTTTTAAGATGTGGATTAAAGTCCAATGAGGAGCAGGACAGATCTAGTGACATTAATCTAAACTTCCGGACTAGTCTCCACACATTGGGGAAATATAACACAGTGGATGTGCTAGTCGTGAATTAGGCACAACACCTTGGCATGTGAAGAAACCCAAAACTCGACAGGCTTTCTGTGCCTAGTTACGGTTGCTAAGCTATGATTGGACAATCACTAGTCAGAGGAAGGGTTTAATGAATTGTCAATCATCAGATTGAACAACCAAGAGTGTTAATGAAGGAAATAACAACCCTTTACAGTCAGTGCAAAGACCTACTTTCTCTACATGTTGCTTTAAGACATACTGTATGTATAAGAAGCGCACCCCCCACTTCGGCTCTGTCAAAACTTACCTTAAGCGACAGGTTTAAGTGGAACCATCTGTTTACAAAGTCAGACGAGGAGCTGGAGCTGTGTTAGGGTCAGGCTGTCATGTCATGTCAAGAGCGTGTTTGATCCACATTATGAGACGAAGCCCTGCGATAAGATCTGGTGGTTTTGTGCCATATATTGACCCCCCAGGGTTTGTCTGTACAGGGTTTTCCTGTCCCTTAAGGTCAAATGGAAAGTTTTGTCATACAAAATGGAGCAGACTTAAATCTCCCTTTGTTTTCCCCCTCAGTACATCTTGTCTGGATCAGATGACTTCAACCTCTACATGTGGAAAATCCCAAAGGACCCAGAAGCAGGTGAGTTATTGGATCTGTCTGCACCAACTGCATATTTGATCTATGTTGATGCGTAGGCCATGATTTAACTTGATTTTTGCATTACCACATGACAAAAGGAGGAGAATAATTCAATCATTTGGTTCCCATGGTGAGGATGTTAATTATCTTCTGTCTACTCTGCTCAATACTTTTGTTTTCTTTTGGGTTTTAAGTTTAAGTTCATACTGTTCATTGGGAAATCAGGGCATGTAGTACAAATGTACCACAACTTACAAATAGTTTTAGGGACAATGTTTTGATGAATTGTCATCCTGCAAGGTTAAAGATTTCAGTGGCGTCAGGGTAGACAAAACAAACCTGATTCTAGTCGCTGTAAGTTTCAACCCCAGAGAAAATGATGGACGTTTCTACACTCCTTGCCAATGAGCATCAGCCCAGACTGTGGTTTGCCCTCAGTTCATTTGGTCACAGTATACTTTCCTGGCATGAGAACTATCAGATCTCATTATATAATCTTCCGTTTTATAGTCTCAGTTCAGGTAAAGGTCTTACTTGTATCAAACTGCACCAACTTTTTCATCCAGACTAACTAAAAAACAAATGTAAACGCTGAAAAAGTCTGAAATAACTGCTCCACATAGGCTTACTGTGAACACGCCTCAACTCTGAGAAGAAAATCCCAAAAATGCAACAATCCAAGAATGTGGTCGTTTGTAGCTCTGTAGCGCCACCTGACACATTTATGGATTTTTATTTTCCCTGGAGTTACTCACACTAAAAATATGTGCACTGGACCTATGTGTCAGACTAATGGCATATTATGAGGATTACATTACTGCTGTTATGACTGCCATATTTCACGGTCTGTATTTTCTATCTTGGAATATTCAGAAGCAGGTCAAATAATCATGGCTGACTTGTATTTCTGTGACTCTGAGCCTATATATTGGTCTGCTGTTATCACATTAAACAAACCTGCATTCATGTTCTTTCAAGGAGGCCCTGGTCGTGTGGTAAACGGGGCTTTCATGGTCCTGAAGGGTCACCGCTCCATTGTGAACCAGGTTCGCTTCAACCCTCACACCTACATGATCTGCTCTTCCGGTGTAGAAAAGGTCATCAAGGTTAGTAAAGTAATATCATTGCTGTATTTTTTTTTACAAAAGAAAGTCTTTTTTTAGAGACCGGATTGAGGCCTGAATGACAAAGAGGTAAATGTTCTATCTGCTGCAGCATCAGGCTGTGTTTGGAGAAATTGTTCTGTAAGTGGACAGACTAAATTTGAGTCTGCCCTCAGATGTTCAGACAGTAGACGTGCCCTTAAGTGAGACATTGATCTCCAATGACACCACGCAGTAACCGACTAAGCTCCGACTTCCCTTTGTGGAGTGGGGAGTGGGGAGTGAAAAAAGATGGATTTCCCCCTATCATTGACTGTCGTCTGTAACAAATGACATAGGGCAGCATTAAAAAACTGGGTCATGGGAAGATATGAATGGTTCCACACATACAGTATTTCTGAAACCAGACCCAGACTATGACTGCACTACACTGCCAGGCTTTCAAACGTATTAGCAATCGAAGGCAGCCTGGATAAAATAGCAAAGGCTTCATAAGCGTATCATTAAAATTATTGATAGGTGTCTGCTGTAGCTCAAGCTGGATTGGGCTGAAACATCAGTTTTATTTTGTGGTTAAAAAAACATAGAAATTGACCCCTGATAGAATTCATGTGGCGAGCTGTTTGTTCTATACTGTTGACTTGTTTGAAGGGTTCACTGTTAAAAAAAAAAAACCAAAAAAAACCCCACAACAATAAGATTTTTTTTCTGCTGTTGGACTAACAATCATAGCACGCAGCAGCTGCGTTTTTGTATTATCTTATTTTTATTGTCTTAGTCAGTGCAAGCTTTCTGAGTCACTGTATTGTCCTGGAGCTGACCCCATGAATAAACCAGCCAGCATTTGAAGTTGGCTCAATGTCTTGCTGATTTTTGACTGAGTCTGTTAAGCATCATCAGTCAGTTATTTTGCGTGTGCTCATAGAAACCGAGCACATGCTGTTTTGTTATCCTTTACTCATATCAGTGAGCTGTCCACTCCTTCATCTGGTCTTCTGTTTTACTTGTGTAATAAGTAAAACCTAAAACCATGGTTACAGTTATCTCTACCACGGCTTTGGATAGCATTTGTGATGTAACGATACACCCAACTCACCATTTGACACATATCATAATACGATTTTATTATTAGTTTTTTCGCAAAATGAGATTGAAGACAAATTATCACTAAAAAAGATTCCTTTATTACTTTTATCTTACATTTTCTTTATTGAATTATAAAATCCTTTTTGTATTACTGTAGTAGGGTATAATCTAACAGTGCATATTTCCTTATCTTTGCACCTTGATACCACAATTGTTATTACAATTCATTCCTAGATAGAATCGTATTAAACTTAAAGGTTATCACTTATACATATTCTAAGCTTTTATGAAGTTTTAATTCGATAGCTTTGACTTAAAAACAATAATAATTTGAATAGTGCCTGAATGACATTTGGTTTTGTGACTGCATGTCGAGAGTTCCTCCTCTGACTGAGAATTTTTATCAAGTTAAGGTAACAAGAAAATGTGGTTTCTTACTCAGATTATTTTAATTGGGTTAAGCCCTTTCCAAACAGTCTAAAAATCCATTTAGTGGAATGAGAAACAATTCACAAAGACCATTGCACAAGGGGAAGAAAGATTCAGATTCTTTTTTTGTCAGTACAGTAACATAAGCTCTCTGTTTTGTACATTTTGCTGTACAGAGCGAAAGGTGATACAGGTCCAGGTGTTCTGTAATAGCAGGCTATGAATAACGAGGAATCTTTCAAACTGACCTCTCCGCTCTCCCTTTTTGCTCCTCACTTTTTCTACATCCATTTTTCATCCTGCTATCCAATCTGTTTAACTTTAAATCCTTTCTTTCTCAATCATCTCCCTTTTCCACCCTTTTCTTGTAACTTCATTCCTTCCCCCACTTCTCCTTCCGCCATTCCTCCCCTCTCTTTCTCCGTCTGTCTCAGGTCTGGAGTCCCTACCAGCAGCCCGAAAGTTTAGGTGACCTGGAGGGCCGTGTGGAGGACAAGTCACGCAGCCTCTACACCCATGAAGAGTACATCAGCCTGGTGCTCAACAGCGGCAGTGGTCTGTCCCACGACTACGTCAGCCAGTCCATCCAGGAGGATCCACGCATGATGGCTTTCTTCGACTCTTTGGTGCGTCGAGAGATCGAAGGCTGGAGTTCCGACTCTGACAGCGACCTTAGCGAGGAGGCTATCATGCAGCTCCATGCCCGAGGGCGCCGCACCACGCGGGCCACACCAGTGGCTCCCGTCGCTGTCTCGACTGCTGGTCACCAAAGTGACTCTGACAACTCGTCGTCCTCCTCTCTGGCTGGACCGGATGCTTCAGGAGGGGAAGAGCAAGCCGAAGCGGAGGTGGAGGGGCAGCCCAGGAGACGGGGCAGGCATCAGCGACATCAGTCAGGCTTCCTTGTGAATGAGGACTCTGACTCGAGTGAGTTTTGGCTGGACCCCATGCCCCGGCCTCGTTCCCCAAGCCCCAGGGACAACTCCACGCTGTCCAGCCCCACCTCCTCTCCTTCACTTCCCGCCGAAGCCTCCAGCTCTTCAACATCCACTTCCAGCTCCAGCAGTGACGACGAGGAGCGGCGTAGTGCAGTGAGGCGGCGCAACGTCATGAGGCGGCGACGCATGCATGTAGTCTCCAGAGCTGAGGATCGACCCGAGTCTGTACAGGCTCTGTTTTCAGCCATCGACTCCTGCAGTTACCCATCTATATCAATCGAGGACCTCTCTTCCTCCACATCAGGAGAGGAACAAAAATCTCTCCAAATCAAGCCCCTTACTGGTGGCGCCAGAGATGAGGAAAAATGTCTGAGCCCTTCTGACTTTGTGTGTCTGAGCCCAGTAATGTCCCCCGAGAGCCAAGAGAATGAGGAAGGGAGTGACAGGACTGAACTAGAAAGACATCCAGCTGCATCTCCGCAATCATTGGTTGGACGCAGGACTGGACAAAGGGCTACTTCAGAGCCGGCTTTAGACAGCTCTGATAGCGGAGAGGCCTGTAGCAGCTCAGGGGCTTTAGACAGTAACTTGCAAAGCCGACGTAGCCTTGGAGTGAACGGGCAGCACCGGACTGTAGCACCTTACGTGAGTGAGAACCTCCTTGTCTCCTCAGAATCAGAGGAAGAGTCTGCCGTCACACCTGAAGACACAAGGCCACAGAGAGAAAAAGGCCTGGCACAGATCGCTCTGAAGCGGACTCATGTGGGATCAGAGGAGGGCGAGTCAGGCTCCTCACCCTTGGAAAAGAAGTTAAAAACATAATGACATCTCTTTCTCATCCTGGAAAGAAATCATTTGTTAAGAGACTTAATTTAGGACGTGGGTTTTCTATGGGTTTTTAAAACTCAGCTTTTTCATTTTTCGTCTTGTTGTCATGTGACACATGAACTTGCGCTGATTATGAGAAGAAGACGTTAAAGAACTTAAAAAAAAAAAAAAACGGTTAATTTTTGTTTCCGAACAAATGAATTAGACAGTGTCATCGTTCCTTAGGCTGAACCACAGATGACGTTAAACGATGAAAAATATAAAACATAAGCTAAATATTGTTGTTAACAATGGTATTTTAAGTGAAACCCATTTATTTTCATGCAGCATCAGTGTTTTTTTCTCAAGCTCTGGTTGTTGCAGAATTCTCCACCCTGGATTTGGAGCTCCTCCAGCCATAAAAAAAAGGTCTTATGGAGGACAAAAGCTTTGCAGCATTTTAATTTCTACAGTTTCACACTGAGCATAAATCTGATCTGTCTTGTTTTTATTTTAAAATGATTCTCTGCTAAGACTGCTTCAGGGGTGTCTGAGGGATCGACTGTCGCCATAGTAATCTTAAGGAGTACCATTTGTTTAAGCTGTGCATTGAAATGATGCTTTCAGTGTCTCTACCAATTGTTTTTTGTCTCATTATCCAGCCCCTGGGTACCATTACAAGCCAGCTCTCGCTTTTGTTTTCCTGCAATTAAAGAATAATTTGTTCTCCAGTGACAACGCCACAACTTCTTCCTGAGGCTTCTCTTATTCACAGTAGAGTTTGAATGGTGAAATATTTACTTTCTCTGACACACGTCTGTCTGAAATAATGGAAAACAAGTTATTTAAGTCTAGATTAGGGTCCTCCACTACCAACTACTAACCGAGTTGCCAAGGCAACGCAGCCTCAACTCTCCCGTGAAAGAAATATGAAGCCTTTTCAGCTGCCCGTGACCCTGAGCATCCAATGTCGACAAGACTAGAATATTTTATTGACTGAACCAAAAGCTATCATCGCTTCCATTAGGAGAATGGGCATATCAGTTATTAGCACTCTGCTACTCTAAAAAAACACATACATCACTGAGTTAATGAGTTAATGTCCATCTCTGAAAAGGCTGCCTTTTTGTGTCTTGAAAAAAACATATTTACAAAACAAGCTCACCACAAAGTCCATTTAGTAGTTGTTCTGGAGATTTCAGTCATATCACATGATCGTTTGCTCAGTTGTCATGAAATTATTAAAATGTCCATCTTTCTAAGCACTTTAATGACCCATTTTCCATGTTGCCTTAAATATCCAATATGTAATGTTTAGGAGGATCTATTGGCAGATATGGAATATAATATTCATAGATACCACAGGTCACTGTCCAACCAAACACAGCGAGGGATTTGCAGTCTGCAACTACACTACTAGATGCCACTAAATCCTGCACACGGGACCTTTTTAAAGGTTGAGATGAAAGTTAATTCTTGACATGGAAATAGAAGAAAAATGGGAGTTTGAGAATCTACAATTCCATGGCAAACAGTGGTGTAGTAAAGGTTATACAGAGTATTTATTTTTCAGTCAGCATTCGGTATACCCACTTCTAAGTCCCCTCTGATGTGCTTCATTCAGTCGTGTGCTTTCATGAGTGGATGGAGTAATGAATGAATTAAAATGCATTAATGATGTAGTTGTTTTACCCGTCTGTGGGCCTGTATCGATTGCAAAATCGGCACCTGTCCTGCGGCGAATGTTAATATCATAATGATTCTTACTAACTGACGTCAAGCAGCAGAAGTTAAGTGATAATCTGAAAATACTGCTTGGACAAACTCCATGAGGAAGTATCAAGTAAACCTTCAAGGTAAAATTGCACCAGAGCCAAAAATTCAGTATTCCTAAGAAAGACAGGATATTGCCCCATCATGAGGGGAATAACCATAAATGGACGAGTATCTGTTCCGCACATAATTAAGCCACACCCACTTAGATTCCCCAACTGTGTAATGATTGTCCATGAAACACATGATGTCATTGCTTTCTGAGGAAACAGCAATACCAGTTGTCTCCTGTCTGCAGCCTGAACGCCGGCACTCTTCTGCCAGACAAAGCAGACTACCAGAGGGCATACCAGTGGTTGTTGGGAAAGATTACAAAAGAAAACACACCACATGGCGTTACTGCCCCATGAGCTGGCGGTGAAGTGGTAATCTGAGGGCAGGCAGACTTGTAGTTGAGGGTTATCGAGTTGTTTGTACTGCTCTCTTGTCAAAATAATTTCCTCTACGTCTTAGAACTTCTCAGTGTGGCCGTCACTTATCTGCAGGAAGTAGACACCCTTCATTTAACCCCTATGCTTCCCCTGGGACAAGTATTCAAATAGTGTATTCTTTAGGGTTGTTTACATTTTGACTGGAGTGTGCCTGCTGGGCTGCATATGGCTTAATGATTAATTACAGGTTACTAATGAAGAGTCAGCTTTTTTTAACAGCTAACAATACAGTTTTACCGCTGTAACATCAATCAAAATTTGTAGAGAGCTGAATTGTACTAATTCCCTAAAAGACTTAAGTCACATACGGAACACAATGCTAAGGCATGCTGCTCACATTAGAAGGGAATCCAACCCACTAGTGAACTTACAATGGATGCTTTTATCTCTATTTATTCAGGGAAGGTTAACTGGTTATGTGTGCACTTTTGAAGCAACACCCTCCTTCATAGGTCACATTCAAAACTGGGAGGAGCCCAGTACAACCACAGCCTTTGAGGACTTCCACTAGAGCGAGCATGGGTTAGGTCAAATGCACCATATTGGTTTGGGAGGGGACACCCAGTTTCTTAAAGGTCATGAAAACCTATTTTCTCAATCAGCTTTGTACCATGAATGTTGAGGTCCTACATGAACACACTATTTCTGCCACAGTTAAAAGAGTTTTGTTGTGTTGTACATGAGAGATTTCTTTTTATGTGTTTTTGTCCTTGCTTTTCTCTTTGGTTTGTGGTGGGCGGGGCTCAGTTTGAAGAAGGTGATGAAAGTAATTTTTGAGTAACTCTTAAATTACAAACGTTGATATTTAATGTTGCATAGAAATACTTAAAAGAGAAATTCTGCCCTGATTTAACTATAACATGGTTGGACTGAAAAAATTATTGATGATACTTTTTTTTATATTCTGCACATTCTTCTTCCTTCTCAGAACCTGGCGCCTACATTACCTATAATTCAACTTGACTGCTGACAGTTCTGTCAAAGATTCAGGGGGGGTAATGCTAGTAGCGGCTAATGTAGCCTCGAGCTGTTAGCCCTTAAGCAGATATGAGGAGAGGTCTAGTAACCTCACTTCTTTATAACTCCTAGTCTTCAGCCCCAACCGATGCTGACTCAGTAGTACTCCCCGAGGCCTGTTAACAGACTTTTAATGTGTAAAATGGTGGAATTTCCCTTTAAGATTTAAAACTAGGTTTTTAAGTCAGATCCTGTGTTTGAGCCCTGAGCTTCCAGTCGAGTCCAGCCCCCACCCACTGCTGCATTATACTCCAGACCTCTCCTTTCAGACTTGAGTCCTGCCATTCTTTATCCTGTGCCTACAGTATGTTCCTTTGGGTCCCAGATGGTGTTTTGGCTCAAGTTGTTTGACCACAAACCCAAACACATGTACAACTCAATGGGATTATCATGGTTGTTCTGCAGGATCCCATACATGGTTCAGCTTTAACAGCAAGGCCAACTATTTAAGAATTCTCCTCCCAACATGACTGGAATACCTTGGGAAGTTGCCAGAGACCAGACAGAGCCAAATGTACCAGCTCTTCACATGACCTGTGTGCCTCAGAAAGCAGGCCTGAGCTCCTTTGCA